ATGACCATGTTAAGAATAAAGAAAATAGAGATTTCCGGTCAAGATGGTGGAGTAGGTAAATGCTGTGCTCATCTCCTCTCAGAACCACATCAATTACAGCTAAACTACAGAACAACCATCACTGAGAATCACCTGAAGTCTAGCTGAACCAAAGCCATTCAACTAAGGACATACAGAAAAAGCCACGTCGAGACTGGTAGGAGGAGCAGAGACACAGAACGAGCTGGTCACACACCCATGTGTGACCATTTACAACCTGGAGAGATATCTCAGCTGTAGAGGTTCACACACACCCCAGAGGGAGGAGGGGTCCCAGCCCCACACCAGGATCCCCAGCCCAAGGTTCCAGTGCCAGGGAGATAAGTTCCCATAACCTCTGGCTGTGAAAACCAGCAGAGATTGCAGCTAAGTGAACTGGAGGGTGGCTGCAGTGCTAGGCACAAAGATTTACTTGCTAATGGACTCACTCGCTTTGAGATCCAGCACAGAGGCAATAGCTCAAAAGGAACCAGGGACATACAGGGAAAAGCTGAATTGACTAGCTTCAGGGTGAGGGCTAGAGGGGCAGCTTTCTCCAGGAGGTAGGGCTAGGAAGAAGCAATTATTTCTATGTTGAGCCCTCCCCACCCCTCCATGCAGATGCAGGCAGACACATATCTGAGTCTCCATCAAACTGGCGATCACTTTTCATCTACCCCACCCTAGTGATTTCCTGAGGCCCCACACACCCAACTTTTGGGCATGCCCAAGCCACTTCCAGTGGCTTTTCTGAACAAAAAACTTGTCTTAGCTCAGAACTTTCATAAAATCTCTCAAATGCTCACAAACCCCCAACAAGCAGCATCTGTATGTTCAGTACATCTGGCTGAGCACCCATAAGCCCAACACTTACAATAGCCAACCTCAGTTCACAGATTAGCCCCTTAAGGGACCTCCAAACCCAGTGTAAGTTGCAGCCATATGTCAATTGCTTTGTGGCTCATACCAGGCAGCCCTGGGTAAGGCACAGGTTGCAGCTAAATTTGGAGTGTATGGGTCCCCTCCCAGGAAGCCCCAGGTTTGGCATGCCTGGTAGCCAGCTTCAGACCAAGCTGGATCACCACCTGGCTGCCTCCAAGAACAACACCCCAAAGGGCAGACTGGCCAGGCACCAGAGCCCTGATAAAGCAAACACTGTACTTTAGGGTCAGTCCTTGTACCACAGCTCCCCAACTCTAGTCACAGGTTCTCACAACCAATCAGCTTGATGGATAATCCCTTCTATTGATATGCAAACAGCAACCAAGGCTCAACTACAACAGGAGGGCACACACAGCTCACACAAGGGACACACCAGATGCACCCAGCTCTGGTGACCACTGGGTCCCACAGGACACCCTACTACATACAGCCACTCTACTAAGATGGGGAGGCATAGCAGCCCTACCTAATACATATAAGCAAATATAGGAAGCCAGCCAAAATGAAGAGAAAAAGAAACATGTCCCAAATAAAAGAACAGAACAAAACTCCAGAAAAAGAACTAAACAAAATGGAGACATGCAATCTACAAGACGCAGAGTTCCAAACACTGGTTATAAGGATACTCAATGATCTCACAGAGAACTTCAATGAAGAGATAGGAAACAAAAAAATGGAGATAGAAAACATAAAAATGAACCAGTCAAGGGCCGGCCAAGTGGCGCACTGGTTAAGAACTGACTTTGGACGCCAGTTCTGAGCAGCAGGGCCCCGGTTTGGATACCACATGGGGGACAGTGACACTACCCTCTACAGCTAAGATGGTGAACAACAGCTCAACCTGGAGCTGGGCTGACGTGAGTCACTGGCGATGGCATAGGCTGCAGCCCCTGCTGCAGTGGGCTGCCATAAGCTACCGTATGTGGCCGGCAGCCAGCATGAGCATCTGGCAGCCGGTGTGAGCTGTTAAGAGCCGCCATGAGCGGCCATCCAGAAGCCAGCAACTGATCTGCCTCACCCGGGAAGAGCGCAATGATAATACCAACATGGGCCAGTGAAGCAATATCCTCCACAACTAGACTGAAGAACAAAAACGACAGCAACTTGTCTGTTCCCCTTGCCCCGGTTCCCCAGTACTGTTCCCCTCCCCCCAATTCCCCAATAAAATATTTAAAAAGGAACCAGTCAGAAATAAAAAATACAATAACTGAAATGAAGAATACATTAGAGGAAATCAACAGTAGATTAGATGAAGCAGAGGGTCGAAGCAGTCATTTAGAAGATAAGGTAGCAAAAAACACCCAGTCAGAATAGCACAAAGAAAGAAAAATCCAAAAACATGAGGACAGTTTAAGGGGCCTCTGGGACAACATCAAGCATAACAATATTCGTACCATAGGGGTACCAGAAGGAGAAGAGAGCATGCAAGGAATTGAAAACCTATTTGAAAAAATAATGACTAAAAACTTCTGTAACCTGGCAAAGGAAATAGATATACAAGCCCAGGAAGCACAGAAAGTCACAAACAAGATGAACCTAAAGAGGCCCACATCCAGACACATCATAATTAAAATTCCAAAGGTTAACACGTTAAGCACCATGTCAGTCACTGGTAACTGACACTATACTTTCCATTCAGACCGCATCAGTCACTGGTGACTGATGATATACAATTTAAAAAATTGTATTCTTCTATTAGGAAAACTAATTTCACTTGAATTGCTTTCACACATTTCTTCTACTGACATTGTCACTGTTATGGGTAAAGAAAAATTTTTTAAACTGCACTGGAATACAAACCACAAACAACTGACAGAAGGGAAAGCATGTCGGTGAAATCGGATATCGCGGGCTAAACAGAAAGGAAAACAAAACAGGCTTGGCACTTAATGTGTTAAAGACAAAGAGAGAACCTTAAAAGCAGCAAGAGAAAAGCAGTTAGTTACCTACAAGGGAGCCCCCATAAGACTGTCAGCTGATTTTTCAACAGAAATTTTGCAGGCTGGTAGGGATTGGCAGGAAATATTCAAAGTAATGAAAAGCAAGAATCTACAACCAAGATTATTACACCCAGCAAACCTATCATTTAAAATCAAAGGACAGATAAAGAGCTTCCCAGACAAGAAAAAGCTAAAGAACTTTATCACTACCAAACCAGTATTACAAGGAATCTTAGGGGGCTTCTTTAAGATAAAAAGAAAAAAAAGATAAAAAATATGATTAATAAAATGGCAGTAACTGTATATCAACAATGTAAATGGATTAAATGCTCCAATCAAAAAACAAGGTGACTGAATGGATTAGAGAGCAATCTTATGCTGCTTACAAGAGATTCACTTCAGATCAAAAGACACATAGAGACTGAAAGGAAAGAAATGAAAAACAGTATTTAATGAAAATGGAAAGAAAAAAAAAACTGGGGTAGTAATACACATACCAGACAAAATAGACTTTAAAACAAAGGCTATCTTGTGATTACCAATTTGTGCTTTCTAATCCCCTCACCTTCTCCCTCATCACCCCCCTCCCATCTAGCAACCCTCAGTTTTTTCTCTATATCGTTGAGACTGTTTCTGATTAGTTTCCTCATTTATTCTGTTCTTTAGGTTCCACATATAAGTGAGATCACATGGTATTTGTCTTTCTCTGTCTGACTTATTTCATTTAGCATAATGTTCTCTACGTCCATCCATATTGTTGCAAATGGTAAGATTTCATTGTTTTTTATGGCTAACTAATACTCCATTGTATAAACGTACCACAGTTTCTTAACAGGATGTGGAGTACAGCATAAGGAATAGAGTCAATGGAAGAATTGTATCAGCTATATACGATTTTAGAAGGGTAGTAAATTGGGGAGGAGGGCTATCACTTTGTGAGGTGTATAAATGTCTAACTATTACAGTGTTTTGTACACATGAAACTAAAAAAAAAAAAAAGTTATAACAAGAGACAAAGAAGGACCCAGTAATCCTCCTTCCTGGTATTCATCCCAAGAAACCCGAAACGTTATTTCGAGGGGACGAATGCATCCATATGTGCATTGTTGCACTGTTTATTTACAATGGCTCAGATGAGACAATCTGAGTATCCACTAATGAATAAGTAGTAGATAAAGAGGAGGAGATATAATGGAATATTGCTCAACCATGGAAGGGAATGGGTTTTGGCCACCTGCAGCAGCATGGCTGGACATGGAGGGTATGTGCTGAGTGAAGTATGTCAGACAGCGAAAGATACAACGTGATTTCACTTATACATGGAATCTAAAGAACAAAATAAACAAACAAACTCATAGATACAGAGAACATTTTGATAGTTGCCAGATTGGAGAGGGGGGTTGGGAGTGAGTGAAAAAGAGGAAAGGATTAAGAAGTAGGAATCTTCTTAATCACAGTAGTCATGAAGATGTAGAGCACTGCAGAAGGAATATAGTCAATAATATTGTAATAACTATGCATGGTGTCAGATGGGTATTAGATTTATTGGGGTGATAGCTGGAAGGGGGGGTTGGGTGGCAGAGTGAAACAAGGAGAAGGGATTAAGAAGTATTAATTGTTATTTACAAAATAGTCATGGGGATGTAAAGTAAAGCATAAAGAATATAACCAATAATATGATAATAACTATCCCTAGGGCTAGGTGGGCACTAGACTAGTCAGGAAGATCACTTCTTAAATTACATAAATGTCTAACCACTATGCTATACACCTAAAATTAATATAAAAAAATATTATATGTCAAAATAAAGTGTTAAAAATAAAATAAAGTAACTACCAAAAAAAAGATAACGAAAAATAAATAATGCTTTCTAATGCCCTTTATAATTACTTCAGGCATTGTATCTAGACTAATAATACTGACTGGATTATCACACTCATGTCAAACAACCAATATAACTTTAAATATTTTATTATTAAATTATTGTTAATATTTAATTTTATTATACATATTGTTTTATTGATTAATATTTATTACTATTAAATTAAAATATTTAATAAGCAATATTTTACACTGGGCAGTTTACATAGAATACATACATGACGTTCCTCTTGAACTGCTTCTTCTAATTGAGCTGCAAATTGCGAACAACAATCCAAGAATGAATTCAGATCATCCCCAACCTTTGAAAAGAATAACAAAATAAAAAGTTACTTTTATTTCAAAATGTATATGCACAGTCATCTACGAGGTTTGACAATTAAGTTCCCAAACTTGCCACCATGCGCTTACATTGGCAGCACTGTACAAAGAGTTCAGCAAGGTTTCATAACCTTGGTATATCAGTGTCTCACAGCTGTGTTCATGTCAATGTGTGGTGGTGTCTTGCTGAGTGGTGTTCACTATTGTTCTTGCGAGGTTTTGTGTGCTGTCACGAGAATGTCTGAACTTGAATTAGAGCAACGAGCAAACATTCAATTTCTTGTTAAAGTTGGCAAGAGGAAATGAAATTAGGGACATGTTAGTCCCAGTTTATGGGGATAATGGCATGATGAAAATGGCAGTGTACAAATGGATTAAACGTTTTTCTGAGGGGAGAGAACACGTCACTGAGGAAGAGAGGTCAGGGCAGCCAGTAACGAGTAGAACTGATGAAAACATTGCAAAAATTCATCGAATTGTGCATCAAAATCTTTGTCTGACTGTAAAGCAGAGCCGACCAAGTAAACATTAACAGAGAAACAGTTAGAAAAACCTTAACTGAAAATCTTGGCATGAGAAAGGTGTGTGCAAAAATGTTCCTGATAGAGCTCACCGATGAACAAAAGCAAAGGAGAGTCCAAGTTTGCCAAGACCTTTTGGAGAGGCAAGACAATGTTTTGGACCATGTTATCACTGGTGATGAAACATGGGTGTACCAAAATGACCCTGAAACAAAGCGTCAAAGTGCACAATGGAAGTCAGCAAATACTCCACAACCAAAAAAGTTGCCTCAGTCTAAATCAAGAGTCAAAATGATGTTGTTAGGGCTGGCCGACTGGCTTGGGACCCAGCTCTGAGCAGCAGGGCCCTGGTTTGGATCCCACATGAGGGCCAGTGACACTGACACTGCCCTCTACAGCTAAGATGGTGAACAACAGCTCGACCTGGAGCTGGGCTGCTGTGAGTCGCCGGAGATGACATAGGCTGCAGCCCCTGCTGCAGTGGGCTGCCATAAGCTACCATGTGTGGCCAGCAGCCAGTGTGAGCAGCCGGCAGCCGGTGTGAGCTGTCAACAGCCGCCATCCAGAGGCAGGCGACAGACCTGCCTCATCTGGGAAGAGCACAATAATAATACCAAGATGGGCCAGTGAAGCAAAGTCTTCCACAACTAGACTGAAGAATAAAAGGACAGCAACTTGTCTGTTCCCTTTCACTCGATTCCCCAGTACTGTTCCCCTCCTCCAATTCCCCAATTAAAAAAAAAGATGTTGTTAACATTTTTTGATAGCAGAGGGATTATTCATTATGAATTTGCACCAACTGGATAAACAGTTAACCAAGTTTACTATTTGGAAGTGCTGAAAATGCGGCGTGAAAAAGTTAGATGACCTAAACTTTTCACCAACAATGCATGGCTCTTGCATCATGACAATGCACCAGCTCACACGACACTGTCTGTGAGGGAGTTTTTAGCCAGTAAACAAATAACTGTATGGGAACACCCTCCCTATTCACCTGATCTGGCCCCCAATGGCTCCTGTCTTTACCTAAAGATAAAAGAAATATTGAAAGGAAGACATTTTTATGACATTCAGGACTTCAAATGTAATACGATGACAGCTCTCCACAAAGAGAGTTCCAAAATTGCTTTGAAGGGTGGACTAGGCACTGACATCAATGCATAGCTTCCCAAGGGGAGTACAGTAAAACCTTGGCTTGCGAGTAACTTGGTTTGCGAGTGTTCTACAAGATGAGCAAACATTTCTAATACATTTTAACATGGTAAAAGAGTGATGTCTTGCAATACGAGTAGTTTGTTTCTGGAACGAATTATGCTTGCAAAGCAAGGTATTACTGTACTTCGAAGGTGACCATAGTGATAGTCAGCAATGTGGTATGTAGCACTTTTTCTAGGATGAGTTTGTGAACTTAATTTTCTGAGCTTGTATATTTTAGTATATTTAACTACTTTTGAAAATAATTTTATGCATGCAATTTATGTTCCTTCAAACATATAAGACAAGAAACCATGCTCCAAATGCTATACTAGCAAATTCTCCCAGAAAGTGTGGAAGAAAGTATATTCTGTAAAGTGGCCCATTAATGATATATACCCAGTTATATCTTTCATTCTCCTCTACACAGTTGCAGAAAATCAAGCATCTCAGCCTTAGACTCCTGAAATATTATGGGTGGCCAAAAAAAGTAACCACTGTGTGTATACTTTACAAATATCTCTTTGTGTTAAAAAAAAAGTGAATGCTAATTATGACTTCTGATTATAGTTGCCAAGAGCTTTAGTCTTTCACCCTCACTTAATAGTCAAGAGAAAACTTTAAGAAAAAAAATAGTTACAAACTAAAATGTCACAATGATTAAATCTCTTCTAGAAGACCAGTGATTTGTAAATCATAGAACTGAATCATGGTAAACAAATCTCAGATGCTTATATTCCTATACAGTTAAGGTTCTCATATAATGTTCTCCCTGAGGAATATGTTCCCTCAACACTGCATTTTAAACATATTCATAGGCTCACATATTTTTTTATCATGGTAAAGACCTATACCAGAGAGGAGAAAATCACAATAGTATTCAAGAAAGTAGGAAGATAAATGAAATAGAGTTACTAACCACAAAGGTAAAATGAGACTATTAGCATACTTGGAGATTTTCTTCCACCCACATTCACGTGTCACAAATATAGAAAATATGGAGATCAATTAGATCAGGGTTGCAGTTTAACAAAATAAGATCAATAAAGAAGGACAGGGTAAGAGCATTCGCTACATATGCAAGGGAGCAATAATAATGGACCATGAAATTTAATCTAGGTAAGTAAAAACACATGAAGGATTTGGGACAGGAAAAAGTAGTAGGACCAATGGGTTATAGTTTCCAATGGAATCAAATTATTTTGGAGTCAGAATATTAGACAGACTAAATAAGACGTATAGGAGGTAGTTGCCAGAGATAAGGATGTCTAAAATTTTAACTATGGAAAAATTAGTTGTTTCTCTCACCAAACACTCTTCCTCATCTGAATTTTGCTAAGAAGGTGGCAGAAAATGAGAACTACATACCAAGGAATGGTCACAACTAAAAAGACTGACAATACCAATTTTGGTCAAGATGTCAGGCCACTGGAACTTTTATAGAGCTGGTAGGATCACAAAATGCTACTGCCATGTTGGGAAACAGCTTGGCATTTGCTCATCAAGTTAAACACATACTTAAAATATAACCCACCAGTTCTACTCCTAAGTAATTATCCAAGATTAATGAGCACTTATGTCTTCACAAAGACTAGTGCACAAATGTTCATAAAAGCTTCATTTATGATAGCCAAAATACCTACTGGATCAAACCACCCAAATGTTTATTAACTGGTGAAAGGATAAACAAATTGTGGTTTAGCCATGAAATGGAATAGTCGTCACAATAAAAGGAATAAACCACTGACATCTAGAACAACATGAATCTCAAAAACATTATGGTGGAAGGGGAAGCTACGTAAGTAAAGCTACATATGATTTTATTTACATGAAATTCTAGAAAAGGCAATGCTATAGTGATAGATCAGTGGATCTGGAGTCAGGGTAAAAGAAAACTGACTGCAAAGGAGTTCAAGGGAGATTTTTGGGATAACAAAAACGTTCTATAGTTTGTGCTTGCAATTACACAACCAGAAAAAAGGAGAAGCTAAAGAGCAGAAAAATCTCATCCTGCATGTTCTTAGTAATTGTATTTTGAAGCTCTGTCAGGATTGATCCAAAATGTGAACCAAAACTATTTAAATTTGAAGCCCAAGCTCCTGCCAGTTAAAATACTGGCAAGATCAAAGAAATCAGCCCCTCAGGGGAAGCAGCAATAGGAGAGACTATAGATTAGACAAATCAGGCAAGAATGCAACCTAATTTAAACGCATGGATCAGTTCCTGCTCAACTCAGTTCTTAGGAAAATGAGAATGATTAGGCCTTCACCCTAAATGCCAGATTGGAAAGGGCAAGCATTCTCTAGAAAACAAAACATTATACCACAATTTCCAATGTTCTACTAAATACAATGCTTGGGATCCATTAAAAATGTATAAAATGAATAACCAAAACACACATGATCCATAGTAGAAAATGTACTGTGAAGAAAATAGAAGGAAATGTACTAATGATCCAGATATTGGAATTAGCACATAAATTTAAACTCAAGAGAAAAATTTAAACTCATTTATTAATAAAAGAATTTGCAGGAAAAGACAGATAGACTAGGTAGAGAAACAGATAACAGAAAGAGAGATATAGACACCCCTAAAAACGAGCCAAAGGATAATCCTAAAGGTGAAAAGTACAATATTTTAAATAAAATTTTCATTGGATACAGTTTAACAATACATCAGACACCACAGAAGGGATTGGTGAACTTGAAGATAGGGTAATATATATTGTTCAAACTGAAGCATGGAAAGAGGAAAAGTTGAAATAAGTGAATAGAGTGTGAATGACTTTTTACACAGTATCAAGGAGTCTAATATACATGTAATTGGAATGTCATAAAAATAGGGAAAGGAGGCAGTAATATATCTGAAGAAATAATGAACAAAATTTTCCAAATCTGATGAAACATATAAACTCAAAGCTTGATGGACTCCAACAGAATAAATACACTGAAAACCTCACTTAGGCATATCTTAAACTGCTGAAACCCAAAAATAGAAAATCTTTAAAGCAGTCAGAAAAAAGGGGAAACAAGGATGTAACAACAATAGCAGAAAAACATAAGTGAGATAAACAGAATTATACTGCTATACAGTTTTCACATTAGAAATGAAGCTGTATACTATTAACTCAAAATAGCTTGTAATGTTTAAGATACATATTGAATTTCCTAGAGAAAGCAAAAAAAAAAAAGCTAAAAAGCCAAAAAAAAATTAAATACTAAAAAATACATAATTTACCCATATAGAACAAAGAACATATGGGACAAAAAGAAAGCGAATAGCAGGATAGTAAACTTACTTCACATTATGTCATTAACATTTCATTATAATAAATTAATTACATATTTAATTGTACAATTAACTGTAAATGAACTAAACACACCAATTAAAAGACAGATCATCACTGTTATAAAAAAACAAGATTCAATTATATGTTTCAAAGAGACACAGTAAACATACAGTCATAGATAGATTGAAAGTAACAATTTGAAAAAAGATATATTACGCAATGACTAATCATAAGAAAATCGGTATCAGACAAAGCAGACATCAGAACATATCAAAGATAAAAAATAATTTTGGACTTCCAGTTCTGGCCATGGTAGGCTAGGCCCATTCCTCTAATCTTCCCTCCTACAACTAAAGTACCCTAGACATAACACAACAAACATAGGAAAATTCTGAAAGATGGAAAGAGAAAGACAAGGATCTCAGGACCTTAGGAACAATGAGTTCCTTAGGGTTTCTTTTTATGTACACATAAAATGAATGGAGCACTGGAAAAGCCTGCAACCTGGAACCGCCAATAAGCACAAACCGAAAAAACAAACAAACAAAAACCCTAAGAAAAGCCAGAGGACTGTGAAGGGGGGCCTCTACCATAACACAAAACCTTTTTGACAATACTTATCCTACTTGTGCCAAACACCAAGAAAAAAACCGTACCGCCACCCCATATGTGTGAATAGGACTGAAAAACAATGTGGCAATGAAAGATGGCTTTCCTTATTCCCCACGACGGTGGTCACAACGGTGGTGTCAGTGGATCTGGAGAGTGAATCTCCACCCCATGGTAGTAGTAGGTAGCACTCCAAATCTCCCATCAGAGCAGTGTTGGTGGAGCCAAGCAGAGAACTGAACTTCTACCCTTGTCTGGAAGTAGCAGTCAGAATGAATCAAGGATGTCTGTTCTCATCACTATTATTAAATATGATACTGGGAGCCAGAGCCAGCACAAGTCAACAGAAAGAAATAAAACACATTCCTATTGGATAGGAGAAGTAAAATTGTCCTTATTTGAAGGTGACACAATTGTCTATGTAGAAAATCCCAAGGAATCTACAGAAAAACTCCTAGAATTAAAAAGAACATTGAGCAAGTTTGCAAGATTAACAAACAAAAATTAATCATATTTCTATAATATATACCAGCAACAAACATGTGGAAACTGAAATTTAAAACATAATGCCATTAAAAATCATTCCAGAAAACATGAAACATTAATGTATAAATCTAACAAATCATGTACAGGATCTGTATGATGAAAATTACAAAATGCTGATAAAAGAAATCAAATAAGACCTAAATGGAGAAAGACATACCATGTTCATGGATTGAAAGATTCAACATAGGCATTTTATTACCAGGAGCCAAACTCAATCCCTAACTAACAAAACTAATTACAAATAGAGAAAAAATAGTCTATTAGTAAAGTGTATTAAAGTACAGTTGAATATTTTAAAAATATGCCAAATAATTCATTGATAGATTAAAGGAGAACCAAATAATAACTTTAATAGTTACTTCATATATACAACAAAGACATTTGTTAAAACTCAATGACCTCTTTATTGTTTTTTTATTTAGACAACTATAAATAGAAGAAAACTTTGTTAACATGATAAAGAATACTCGAATACATCTCAAACTAACAGCCAACTACATGTTTACAAATTAAACAGGAGAAGCATTAGCATTAAAAATAGACTCAAGATACATATGTATATTTACACATATACACACACATGCTTGCCTTAATTAAACTTTAAGTGTTGGAAGAGGATGGAAAACTTGGGCACTATTTTCACGTTTCCTAAGAGGATCATTCTCTTGGATGGGGAATTCATTCTGTGAATATATATGGACTACAAAAGGAAATCTTAGCCCTTTTCAGTATGAATGTCTCTTCATTAGGGTTGTGTATACTTACAGATAAAGATAATTCTTCCTGTGCAGGCTTTGCAACTGGTTTTTCTACATTTTCAGTACTAACGCCATAGGTTTCTTCCAAAGAATCAGCAACCTATGAAAAAATCAAAGCAAATTCAATACTTTCATAGTTTAAAATTATTATATTAAATATAAAAAGATGTCAAATAAACCATGTCAGGACCTTTTTAGTAGTAAGACTTATTTCTACCAGTGCCATAAGCTTAAATTTTCCATCTTACGCTCCATCTCATGTCATCATGAAGAAGTGATGAGCACCAGTCCCTGAACCTACTTCCTAACAATGAAGAGAGACCCTATGAGGCATCCATTTCTGTGTTGACAGGGAGAGGGTCTGTCTATGAATAGCTGAAGCACTGTCTCTACTTAACACCAAAGTATTCCTCAAAATTCAACTGACTCGACTTTGTTCTTTGAAGAGAGTGGGCAAAATAGAGAGAGGGAGGCCAGAAAGCAATTAAGTTTTGAAATAAAATTCTCTGAACTAACCCCTCAAACTTTGAGCAAATCTTTATTTTGGAAGTTTGACAAACTATAGTCTTTTTATATTTGTGCTATTCCTCATTGTTCTCACTTGGTATTTGATACATTTACAATTTAATTCTGGATCACTGTGCAAAGAGAAACCCAGAGAAAGATATATTTATTCCCCAAAACTAAGAGCTAAAGCTTCTAAAATGTAGTGAGTTAACATAACAGGCATGAGACTTAGAAAAGCCTATCTTTAGAAAGATTTGCTTGCATCTCAGAACTTAAGATTTTAAGACGGTTCCCACCATAACAGTGATTCAGTGCCCCTAAACGGTTTGTATAAACAATGATTTATGCTGAACACCTCCTTTCCTTCAGGGAGTCTGAAATTTTGATATATGACAGGCAGAGTAGCTATGTGACCAACCTCCAATAAAACCCAGGGCACTGAGTCCCTAATAAACTTCTCTGGTAGGCGTTTCACACATGTTGTCACAATTTGTTGTTGGAGGAATTAAGCACGTCCTGTGTGACTCCACAGGGAGAGGAATCTTGGAAACTCGGACCTGGTTTCCTCCAGATTTCACGCATGAGCCTTTTCCTTTTGCTGATTTTGCTTTGTATCCTTTCATTGCAATAAGCCTTAGTCATTAATGTCTAAATGCTGAATCTAGTGAATCCTCCTAGCAAATCATTAAACTCGGGGATGGTGATGGGGACCCCCAACACAGAGACCAACAAGTGTCTTACCGTCTTCAGATGTTTGGTAATTTTCCTGAGCAATTCATCTTCTGCTATTAACTCCTTTGTCTTACTTGATGGAATGGGCAAAGCAAACCTCACAACGGACTCTCCTGTTGGTGGAGATCTTAAGATCATTGGTTCAAGTTTATCACGTACTACTTTTACACTATGTTTTTCCTTTGGTTTATGTGACAATGGTGAATTAAATAGTCCTTTTTTGTAACTTATTTCTGGAACATTTGCCAATTTTTTACCATAGGCTGACAGATGCTTTACTGGCTTCATTTTGTTATTTACTTGGCTTCCAAATTATAGATGAAAAAATTTTACTCCTCCCTATGAATAAAAGATGAAGATTTCAGATTTAAGATGGTGGCAGGATTATCAATTGCAATAAAGATGGTGAACCCCAAAATCACTCTAGAGAAATTACAAAATGAAAAGAGAAACATACCTAACAATAAATTTTTAAAAACTGTAAGAAACCCCTAAAGGTGGCCTAAGACTGATTTATGTATGGGCATTTAGGATGGGAGCTGACAGGAGAGAAGAAGACAGTGGCGGCAGTGAGTGTATATATTTAGAAAACTTTAAAATTTTATTCTTCGCCCCCCCATTTTTGAGCTAATACGTACCACACACACATACTGGGGGGTGGGGGTGGGCCAAAAAATATATATACACATTTTAAGAGAAGAAAAAACTGTATTAAAATTGTAAAACTCAATATATACTGATAACAAAAGACAAATTCAAGTCACGTTTGACTTCTGCAATTACAAGAGGTGCTCAAAGTGGTAAACATCAGCATAATTTTAATACAGATTTTTCCTTTCTTAAAATGTGTATACATTTTTTGGCACCCTGTGTGTGTGTGTGTGTGTGTGTGTATTTTTGAGCTAATATGTACCACACACACACACACACACACACACACACACAATATATATATAGATATCAGAAGTACCAAAAAAATGTATACAAGTGGACACTTTGGTCAACGTTGCTGAAGCAGTAGTTCACTGTAATCAAAACTGTCTGGACACTGATGGTAACCACTTGGAGCACCTCATGGCCAAAAAAACGTATACACATTTTTTTATTTATTTATTGGGGTATTGGGGGAGGGGAACAGCGTTGGGGAACCGGGGAAGAGGAACAGACAAGTTTCTGTCCTCTTGTTCTTCAGTCTAGTTGTGGAGGACGTCGCTTCACTGGCCCATGTTGGTTTTTTCATTGCGCTTTTTCCGGGTGAGGCAGATTGGTCACCAGCCACTGGACGGCCACTCAAGGCAGATCTTGGCAGCTCACACCAGCTGCCAGTCACACACAGTAGCTTATGGCAGCCCACTGCAGCAGGGGCCGGCAACTCATGCAGCTCAGCTCCAGGTCGAGCTGTTGTTCGCTATCTTAGCTGTAGATGGCACAGCGTCACTGGCCCTAATGTGGGATCTGAACCGGGGCCCTGCTGCTCAAAGCTGGCATCCCATGCCAACTCAACCAACTCAAAGGGCGCCACTCGGCCAGCCCTTTTATTTTGTATACACATTTTTTAAAAAGAAAAAACTATATTAAAATTATAATTATATATACATATATATAAATATATACAGAGAGAGAATATATATATATAATATATATATATATTATATATATATATATATATAATTTCCATAGAAGTAATATTCTAGCCTCAGGGCATGAGCAGAGTAATAACAAGGCAGCACCAAAGTCATGCTGGGATAAGAAAGTATCGACTGGGCAGGACTTAAGACTTTCATTTTACTTCTCTCTTTCTCCAAAGCTGACTTATTAAGATTCAGGACAATGCCTCCTCCCAAAGAGCTTTCAAGTATATACCTGACCATGAGAGTTATCGAGTGGACTGGCAAAATTAAGATAGAACAGCATTGGTTTTCTGTGGTCTGAAACTCTCCACACCTAGACTAGTCCTGTTGTTGTGGGTTAAACTGTGTCCCCCAAAAAAGATATGTTCAAATCCTAACCCTTATCACCTGTGACTATGGCCGTATTTGAAAATAGTCTTTGCAGAGGTAATCAAGTTAAGATGAGGTCATAGTGAATTAGGGTGGGCCCTAAATCCAATGACTGCTGTTATAAGAAAGGCATGTGAAGACACATGCACAGACATACAGGGAAGAAGGCCCTGTAATGACAGCTGTAGAGGCTGGAGTGATGCAGCTGCAAGCCAAGGAATGTTAAGGATTGGCAGCATCCACCAGGAGCTAGGAAAAAGCCAGGGGAGAGTCTTCCCTAGAACCTTTCCAGGGAGCATAGCACTGCCAGTACCTTGATTTCAGACTCCAGAACTGTGAGAGAACACATTTCTATTGTTTCAAGCCATCCAGTTTGTGGTACTTTGTCACAGTAGGCCTAGGAAACTAACACATAGTCTGATGGAAATGACTGAATAAAAAGTGAAAATGTATCAGTGGCAGAGCGGAAACCTGCTGGGCTGATATCCTTGAGTAAACAAGAAGAAATGGGTTTTAATGCACAAATGGGCCAATTCACTTTAGACAAGCAAAGGGAAAGTTTGTCTACAGTAACAGACAGGAAGGCAGAGATGTGGGCTACTTCAAGAAACCAGTAAGGAAAAAATGGGACACTTCCCGGGTGCTAGAAAGCAACCTAACAAATGGATCCATGAAGTTCACATAAATACAAAAGTAAAAGTTACAGCAGTGAATACTTATATTTACATATTTACTTCATTTAAAGCCTTCCTAACAATCCTAGGCGATTGATATTATATCACCATAAATTGGCCCAAGTTTATCAGTCTCTCTTCACCACAAAGATAAATGTTTTCTGGTTTTCCTTCAAAGATTAACTTGATATTAATTTCAAATCTGTAATGATACTGTATACAAAATTGGGGAGGTGGTGGGTTAGAAAAGTATGGTTTGCCTGAGATTCTTCATGGAAAGAAGCACGAGTACCACTGAGGAGGTCACACAGCAAAAAAAATTACCAGAAAAACAAGGATGCTCTTGTCAGAGAATCTAATGAAAACTCTCACAATTTGGTGAGGACCGTAGCACACCAGTCTCTCCTCCAGAGTGTACCTGCTGAGGCTGTTGGAAGTCAGGTCACAGGGTGGTTCTGCCTTGGCGAGGGTGGCTCTAAGGTGACCAAGTTGGAAATTCTGAGCCACCCAGACTTCCTTCAAGACAGAAGTCTGCAAACTCTGCCAGACTCCAGCCTTGCTCCTTTATAAACTGACATTTGTGCTGAAAGGAAAGGCCCGGCCTTTGCGCCCCGCCCTGGGCGGCAGCAATGACCTCAGGGCGCCAGTAATTTCCTCAGGGCGCCAGCGGCCGGGTTGAGCCGTTGACACGTTGCGGATGTCCAACGCCTGACGCCCTCGGCTGCGAGCTGCGCACGAAGTGGTTCCTATTCGCGGCTTTCCTGGAGCGGAAGAAGTTGAGGAATTTCGGCAATTATGGAGTCCTCAAGAACAATAATGTCCAGACTTTCTTTCTTGCCCTCTCTCCTATATAATTCCTTCCAGGACATTTCACAAGTGCAGATTCTTTCAGACATTTGACCAAAAGAAATAAAATACGGGCCCATCCTGTACTTTGAGAACTTTGGCATCACCAACAAAACCTGAGCCTCAGGCCCTCATCTGCCATTGTCTAAAATAAAGCTCTTTTCAATGAGACCTTTTGTGGAGTCCGCTTATCAGACTCTATACTCCCACGGAATTGTGCAGCATTTTTGAGGTTTTAAAAATAAAGTGGACTAGACAGATGCATTGTGCCTCTGAGTCCCTTCAGCTTCTATGCATTTTCATATGCAATTTTCCAAGCTAGAATTTTTTCCATAGTTTGATTTTAGGAAAATAATTTTTTGTCTGTAAAAAATTGAAGATTATTTAATTTAAAACACTCTCCAAATAAAGCTTTGTTGACCAGAGTAAAATGCTTTATATTTAAAAAAATATATTAACTTGATATAATTTAATTGTTAATAATGGCTATGTTTAAAAACTGCCTCACCAAACTGTAACCATCGGCTCTCAAGAGCTAGTGCAAGCAACCTCCAGTGTATTATTGGTGTTAGTGTTGGGATTGATTGGAAAGGGACACCAAGAAGTCTCCTGGAGTGCCAGAAATGTTTCCTGCTCTGACTTTCTGGGTGTGTTAAAAAAATCATGAAGGTTTACAGTTATTATTTGTGCATTTTTCAGTATGTATCATGTCAATAATAAAGAGAAAATATGCATATAGTGATCAAACATATTAAGTACTACACTAACATAAAAATGTTGGCAATAAATTTAATCTGAAGAAATTGTTTACAAAGAATTGAATCACTAAATTCAAAATCTCTGAAAACCATTATAAATGGAAGGGATAGGAAAGATGACATTAAATTTAAAAGAGATCCTAAAACTTTCTAGATTTGACAGCAGATTCTACTATTTTCCAGAGCCCTGAAAAGTGATAATATCTAGTTATTTTTAATTTTACTGGCAAAATCTGAATGGTCAAGTTGTCAAATTACATGAGCAAACCACTCAGCATTAGCTAAGTAAAAAATCTAGTATCCTTATCTCTCTGTGTCTTTAATATTCAACATAGCTTGGAAATAAAGACAAGTATCAGTGCTGATAAAGTAAAAGTGAAGAAGCGTGCAAGATGAATAAATTTAAGCATAGAATGTCAAACTTGGCAGTTGTTCAAATCTATGACATGAATGAGTCCATTATTCTTAGAAAACAGACAAGCAATATCTAGGAATAGAAACTTTATCATCTGATGAAGGACATCTATGAAAATTCTACAGTTAACATCATATTTAACAGTGGAAAATTGAGTAATTTTCCCTTAAGATTGGAAATAAGGCAAGAATATTTGCTCTTACCATGTCTATTACATGTACTGGAGGCGTTAGCCAGTGCAATAAGGAAAGAAAAATAAAAGACATTATCATTGCAATGAAAGAAATATAACTGTCTTAATCCCTGGATGACACGATTATATTCAAAGAAAATCCAAAGTAATATATAAACAAACTACTAAAACTAATAATTAATGTATCAAGATCATGAGCTGAAGGTCAATATACAAAAATCAATTGTATTCTTATATACTAGCAACAAACAATTGAATTCCTTCACAGACAGAATGTAAGCTTTATTAAAAATCATTTATACTATGACCAAAAAATACCAAATATTTAGGAACAATTTTAACATAAAATATGCAAAACATGTACAAATAAAACTATAAAACATTACTGAAATTTAAAATGAC